TGAACTGCCAACAGCAGCACCAGGACACTGGTGTGAATTGTTGACCTCTGCCCAGCTTAGCAGAAACTGACTGGTGAGGCCCAGAAGCCTGTCTTTCGACACACAGTTCAAGCACTCAGATGCATGCGAAGTCTGAGAGCCATTGGTGTCTCACTTGTGCCTCTTGTAGAGGAATGGCCATTGTCACTATCATAGTCTTGTCCTTTTTCTTTTTTTTTTAAGACAGGGTTTCATTCTGTAGCCCAGGCTGTCCTGGAACTCACTCTGTAGACCAGGCTAACCTCAAACTCATAGAGATCCGCCTGCCTCTGCTTCCTGAGTGCTGGGATCAAAGGCGTGTGCTACCATGCCCAGGAGTCTGTTATGCTCCAACATTATGCCTGACATGTGCACCTCTGCGTTCTAATTCTGCTCTCAATCCCCATCATCCCGCCGACTGACCACACATCGCACCGTGTCTGCCTTTCCCTTCTACTCCTGTGAGAGTGGAGTCCAGCACCACAGCCGTACCCTTCGCTCTCTGTCTCTGTATGGGCAACTCCAACCGTGGCGAAAGCCAGTGCCCCTCTCCACAGCTGCAGCCCTGACCAGTCTCACAGGAGGATTTGGTGAAGCCACACTGAGCATCACCATCTCTGTTCAGAGCTGCAGAGTTGAGCTGAGCATGGCAGTCAGATGCAATACATCACGTCACACTGTCTTCCTCTCCCCCGCCCAAAGGCAAAGCCAGGCCTTCTATGCCCACAACCTTGCTCATGAGAAATACAGAAGCATCAGAACACCGCCACAAATGGCTGCCAATGCTCCTGGGCTGACCGGGCCATGCTGCTCCTGGTTTGCATTCTGTTGGGAACACAGTGCCCAGGACATCTCCTGGAAAGATCTACATATACGTGTTTGTAGTCTTTAGTTTTCCCCTGTTCCCTCCTGAACCTTTTGCCTCTGCCCACACCAAGGCATCAAAATGGCTCTTGTTGAGGTCCCCTATCACCTTCAGGGGTTCATGCTTCCCCAGTTCCATTTTCATGTTACCTAGTACACCAGCAGCATTTGCATAGTGGGCGACTACCTTCTCCTTGGTGTCTTCTACATCCCCAGAGTGTGAACAGTAAGTGTCTGAGGAGGCAGACTTGAGTGACAGCCCTCGCTCACAAGTTTTCCACCTCAACTTGAACCCCAAAGTCTGTGTTACACTGCCTGGACATCTGCACAGGTGTAACAGGCACCTTCCAGCCTGTGCCCAGCAGCGTGTATACAAGATTATCCTAGCTGTGTAGGAGGGATCCCGGAAAAAGCAGAGATGAGGCCACACAGAGCTCGCTGTTCCCCCAGGAAACCCATTCACAGGTCCCAGTGGATCCTGGAGCCGTGGACAAACAACATGGACAAACAACGTGGACAAACATTTACAAACGTGGACAGAGCTGAACAGCAGTGTCTTCCTTCCGTACATACTCTTGCAGTGAAACACAATTTTTAAATTAGGCACAGAGAGAGACTAACAACAAAGTAGGAACAATAACACTGTGCTGTCATAAAAGTGACGTGACTGTGTCCATCTCGTATCTGATTCACCCGTCCCTGTTTGCTAATGTGGGACAGGACAGCACCTCCATGAGGAGGCAGAGTCAAGTGGATGAGGTAGGCGCCATGATGGAGTGTTAGGTTACTATGTAACACAGTCATTGTGATACCATGACAACGGATCCCATCACTTAGTGTCGCGAGCCTTTCCTGAGCGGGCATTCTGCCCTTACTTAGAGGTCTGCAAGTAAATACTCAGGATGACCACAGTGTTTGTTCTAGGAACAAGTTTATTATGCCAATAGTCAAATCTCCAGTTGTTAGCAGGTATGGGCAAACATCAAAACTATAACAATCATTTAAATCTCTAATTATTCTTATGGCAGATATAAGTAAACATTAAACCTATAACAATCCTGGTCAATCAATCACATCACACATTCAGCAAGGGTTCCTATGTGTCCTAGGCAAGGTCTTCTATCCTATCTTACTGAGGCATTGGTGTATACGACCTGATAATGGTCCGTGGCTCTCGACGTAGGCCTCTGGATCAGCAAGTCTTGATCCGCAGGCAAGAGCTAGTTCTCTGGCTCTTGGACGGTCTCAGCTGTGAAGTTGCTGGTTCGTTGGATTCTCTATGACCGCTCTGACAGCATGCCTAGCAAGTCATTTTGAGAATGTCTCCTAGTCGTGAGCCTCAAGTTTTTATACTGTCTGTGGCTATATTACTTTTTTTTCTTTTTAGATTAGCACACATGTCTGCTTATCATATAGTTACGTCACACTTGTTCACCAGCTCAAACTCATATCACCACTGCACACATTGCTTCATGCTTTTTAGTTTCATTTTGTGTGTGACACCTAATATTGCGTCTAACATTTCTGGGCTTATTTTTATAAACTCATATCATTTAATATTGTCTCCTAACACTCCTGGTCTTATTTGTCCTTACAGACTCATAACACTTAGATGGCTCCATGGTGATAAAGGGAAGGTGCTGTCTATGGTATGGATACACCGGACAAAGGGACAACTCTTGCCTGGACATGAAAGAGCAGGACAAAAATTCATCACACTGTTATTGGATTATAATTAAACATTTAGGCATTGTTTTTTTCTAGAATTTCTCTAATATTTTGGGGGGGCTGCAATTAAGGACAGGAAACTAAAACTGTAGGAAGTGATATTTCAGAGAAGAGTGGGCGGGGACAACAGATATATCTACAATGCAGCCCTGGCACCCGAAGCTCCAGAACCACTGTGAAAGAAGGGGTAGAAAGATGGTAACACAGCTAGGAAGTCTCACCAACAGAGCTGCCTAAACATGAGATGGACAAGGACAACGCTAGGCCTGCTGACGTGGGCTGGGGAGCGAGGCGGATGAGCAAAGCGAGCTCCGGTTTGCAGAGTGGACAATGGGAAAGCAAGAGTCTCTGAAGCGCCCTGCAGGGACAGGAGGGAGGTGAGCGTGGATGTTTAACGTCCATTTTGATCTCTCTAAATTCTGGATGCTTGATGAGTCTAGTTGATGGTGTGAATAAATTAATTTGAATGCAAGAAGCTGAAATTTACAAAATATGGTGTGATTAAAACACAAAATGGGGAATAGGCTGGGGAGGTGGCTCTGCAGTTAGGAGAGGAGACCCAGTTTGATTCTAGCACCCACATAGAAACTCAAAGTCCCCTGTAATTCCAGTTCTAGGTGATCCAAGAGCTCCCCTGGCCTCTGTGTGCACTGCACACACACAGTGAACACTTACAGAGGCAAAACGCATGCATAAAATTAAAGAAATAGAACTTTTAAAGAAATGCAAAGCCGAATCAAGTGTTACTGAGCAATAAATGGGGGTGGGAACGTGGCCCAGCGGCAGTGCTGCGGATCAGGCTTAGGACTGAGCGCGTTACCAAGAGTCACACCTCAAGGTTTAAAAAGCGACCTTAAAATGAAGCAGTTTGGATGTTGCTTTAATGTGTTCGGCGAGAGTAGTCTTGCTGGGATCAAGTGGAGTGCTGAAGGATCCAGAAAACATACGGCACGACTGGTGTCTAACAAAGAGCCCGTGTGTGGAGCATGTATCTGACCTCCTGGCATGAGGAGATTCGGTCCACCGTGTTGGGAAGCATGTGGCAGCTGTCCCATCATACATACAGTCAGCAAGCTGAGAGAGACGGATGCTGGCCCCGTCTCAATTTGGCCATTTTGTTCAGTTCTGGGCCCCGAACCTTGGGTGGGCCTTCACTCCTCAGTGAGACCACCCAGGAGACACCAATAGACACGTCTGCTAGGTGATCTGAAAATCTAGTCAAGTTGACAGTAAAGACTGACTTTACAAGAGGCTACCTCTTCCATGGAAAAAGAAGAGGAGGAGCATTGGGTCCAGAGACAGGCATGTCCATGGGGCGCTATGAGGAGATGAGGGAACACAGGCGGCTGCCCTTTTCCATCTCCATAATCCGAGATGAGAGAGGGAGACAGAGAAAGAGCGACGGAGAGAGCGAGAGAAAATAGCAATTATGCAGGGGATGAGACAGGAATATAAAAGTTCACGACCCACAGGGGCTTCAAGGTACATTCTGGGCCACTGAAGCAGCTTAGTGAGATCCTGCTTCTAAGTGAAAACACAGAAACGGGCAGGCTCCAGGTGAGTGTTGGTGGACTGAGGCACTGAGTTTACTCCCCAGGGCCACAGGAAGGAGGAAGAAGAAGGACTAAACAGAGGAAATATGCAAAATAGCTGTGGAGACAGAGCGAGTTGAGCACAGGAGGACACCCTTTTGTGAATCAGAAAACTAACAGACCAGACACGGTCTTCAGAAAGCAGCGTGTGTTGCGGGAGAGGGTGGGTATAGCTGGATAACACCATCAAATCCCACGCTCGTTTGCACTCCAGTAAAAGGAGCTGCACAGTGTAGGTGTTGCAGAAATCATTAAGTGTAAAGTAAATGTAAACCTTTATCTTGAGATGACAAGATGGAATTTATTGCCCTGAAATAAATAGGTACCTATTGCCTTTGGTGGAAACAATAAGGAAAAACATTAATCAGCGGGAATTCTGCGAATTGTCACTTCACTGAGACCATTTCCTCTCTTTGAAATCCATCTGGATGTGATCACAGGGCAAGGAGGGCCTTTGCAGACCCAAAGTACACAGCTGAGCTTGGAGACAAACAGAGGAAATGAACCCTCCATAAATCTGTCAGCCAGTGGGACGCCCATCCCAACAGTTACAAAGGCCTTATCTGCTGCGGGGTGCCCTGACCTATTCCTCTCTGCTTCCTCAAGCAGGGGTGCTGGCCGCTAGAACCACCGGGGGAGTGTGAGGTGAAGCGGGCATGGTTTCCGGCTGTTGTGATTTCAGAACGCTGTGTGCAGGAGTCATTGGTGACGGCAAATTTGGTAGCTCTCAAGGGCACCACACAGTGGATAGAGCTTCAGCCCTTGGGTGTGGAATCACTCCCCTGGCCTAGCTCTCAGAGTGGCCTCTATGTTGTCCCTTCAAGGAGGGAAGGCGGTTCACATCTTCCTCTGACATTTTTTCTACAGTAAACGCCTCCAATGCCATATTGCATTTCATCCTTCTTAGGACCTTTAAAAATATTTGATTGCATCCAAGTGTGATTATATTGGAAAGTGTGACTCCAAAGATGGAACCCAGTTATTTGGGAATCTTGAAAGGATACCCAGAGAATCACCATTTGGACTATTGTATTTTGGTAACAGTATACTTATTGTTGATATAAAATTGACATATTTGTTATCAAAGCAGTCTTTCATTCACATTCTTAATGTACCCAGGGATGCTTTCACTCTTGACAATAACCTGCAGCTGCCAGCTCCTTGTGACAGGCTGAACAATGGTTCAAAGATGAGCATGTCCTAAACTCTAGTGAAACTTTACACGAAGTGCTGATGCCCATAGGCACCTGCCTTCTCATCTCCCTCAAGGAACGGCTGCCTGAGGTCTCCAGGATGGCAGTAAGCCAGATGCCTCTCCAGTCACACCTCTCACTGAGCGTGAGCCCACCAACTCCCAATTCTCCCCTTCCTCACGTCACCCCATGCCCACAGGAAGTAGCCAGACTTGAGCCAGCATCTTCTCCTTTATCCAGGGAGTCTGGAATGTTTGGTTGGAAGCATCACCCCTGCCCCCTGGCATCCATATATACAAGAAGTCTGGAATGTTTGGTGGAAACTTTCAAGCCCCCTCCCCTGGGAGTTGCCTCAGTACAAACTCCACCTCCGAGAAAGCCCGCCAAACGGTGACCCCCTCCCCTCTATGGTCAAGACCACTCCAACAGGCTATTTAAACTGCCCCTCAGAGAACGTGGTCTTCCCTGTTTTCCTTCCCCCTCTCCATGTTTTCCTGGGGGCCTGGGCTTCTAATTTGATTTGGATTATTGCATCGGTGGAGAGGCTTATGGGGTCAAAAAAACTTAACACTTCCATCTTAAATTAATCCATTACTATTTTATATTTTACCACATGGCTTGTGGTTTGTTACCTCTTGCTTCTTGGGCAGCTATGTGGTGTCTTTCTGATCCTGCATTCTTTCTCCCTGCATTCAGTTTAGTTTTCCTGCCTACCCATATTCTGCCCTGCCATAGACCAAAGCAGCTTCTTTATTAGCCAGTGGTAATAAAATATATTCACAGGATACAGAGGGGAATCCCACATCACTCAGGGACCATAGGCAAAGACTGGGAGAAACTTCTAGAAGCTGAAAAAGACAATAAGATGGTATTTTCTTCAGAAGGAACATGGCCCTGGCATTTCATTTAGCCTTTAGGCATCTAGAACTGGAAAGGATAAATACGTCTGTGTGGGTATTTGCTCACACTGACAATATGAGACTCACAAAGAAGCTGAACCTGGAATCAAGGGGCGGAGGCCACAACTGGCTGACCGGAATTAGCCATAGAGACGTTGAAAGGCCAGATAGAGAGGTACAAGAAGGGATAAGGAGAGGCTTAGGGAACTTTTCAAGGTTTTTTTTCCCCCCATCTGGGAAGGAGAAGAGAAAGAGTCAGGCCATCATTTCTCAGCTGCTTTCTTGACCTATTGACCTATCAGGTTTGCACCCCAATATCTGACTCCTGAGTTTTTATTGATAAAAGAATAATTTAGAGGAAACACATCAAGGGTGTCTTTTTAAGACACTACAATTCCAGTAATTTGTTAGAACAAAAATAGGAAACAAGTTACTCATATTTAGTTTGCTAAGCATCTTGTTTATGTATATCATAGCCGAACCCCAGTGGTTTAGTCTGGCCTTAGCCTCCACAAGTTCTACCAAGCACATGTCAAAATATTTCAAAAGAAGAAGAAGAAGGAGAAGAAGGAAAGAAAGAAAAGAAAAAGAAAGAAAAGAAAAGAAAAGAAAGAAAGAGAGAGAGAAAAGGTGTGTGTAAAGCCAGACATGGTTGCAGTCCCAGTGAGGGACGAAGGGTGACTGTGAACACAAGGCCAGCGGGGACTAACTAGAAGACCTTATTTACAAAAGCCAGGCGGTGGTGGCACACACCTCTAATCCCAGCACTCGGCTGGCAGAGGCAGGAGGATCTCTGTGACTTTGAGGCCAACCTGGTCTACCAGAGCTAGTTCCAGGACAGGTGCCAAAGCTACAGAAAAACCCTGTCTTGAAAAAATAAATAAATAAAAATAAAAAAACCTGATTCTAATACCTAAGTGTGCATGAGCCCTCTACCATCATTAACCTGACATTTTTAAAAGCACATCTTCATGGGTCCTTGTCAAATCATCAGTGACTATGGGGACACAGGGAAATCCATGGAGGGGGGTGGCTCTCTCTCCAAGATTCATTACTTCTTGGTCACTTTACTATAATGCACTGGGAACATCTGAAAGACGATTAGTTGACTTTGTACTAATGCCATGACCTGGGGCCCACTTCCTGAACAGGAGCAAGTCAGAGACAGACTTCACCTGTGGACCCAGTGCGGTAGGTCCATGCTGGCTTCCGATGACCATGGCTTCCATTTCTAGGCAGTCATAAACCACAGCTTTACTCAGTCTAGAGTGGGACCGACCATGAGTTCACGGCTTCAGTGTGTTTAGTGTCAATGATACTTTTTAATTTAAGACAGAATGATTGTTAATCCTGAAGAGACACAGCAATGCCTGCATGCTGTCTTTTTAAAATTACATGAAAAGTCAACTGACTCTCACCGTCTTCTCTTGAAGATGCTCTTGAGTGTTAATGCATGTTATCCATATACACGGTGCAGAGAGCTGCTATCACCAAGATGGTGTCTAGGTACTTTCTTAATCAGCTTTTCATTTCTGTCTTGAAATATTTTTCATGGAAGTCAATGTTTTAAATTTTGGTGATTTGGAGCTTTATGTTTTTTTGAGACAGGATTTTGCTTTATAACCCAGTCTAGGCTCAAACAGTGATCCTCCTGTCTCAGTCTCCCAAAGTACTGGGAATTGAGGCGTGCATTGCATTGGTACTGTTACAATTACCATGCATTGGAGGTCTTTAAACATTATTACCCACTTCGTATGTGTCGGGAGACAGGTCCTGGCAAACATGCGTAGGCCAGGGAAGAGTCTCTTCTCTCCTTCCGTGGATCCTGGAGCTCAAACTTGGGTCTTCAGGCTCAGTGGCAAGCACGTTACCCCACGTTGTCTTCTCAGGCCAAGCGTTGAGTTTCAGGAAAGCTGACTGACAACGCTTCCCTTCCACAGACAGGCTGTGCATTTGCTCCTACATGTCAGGGTGCTGTCTCACCTGCTTCCGGTAACCATGCTCCACCGGAGGATTCTCGCAGCTCTCCAGGGACACTGACGGCTTGCCTAGGTCTCGGCAGCCTTGAACCAGGCTGTCCAGTCTAGTTTACTACATTAAAGAAAAAAAATGTTAATATATATGCATATATATAAATGTAAATATATGTGTTTATAAAACTTACAAAAATAGTAGGTTGAAGACGTGTTCAGGAAAGGTCTTCTCCTTTATATTTAATCAAACATAAGCATGACATTCATGTGTACTCTTAACATCTTTCTCAATTTGTCCCCTTAGTGCATTTTGACACCCAAAAAAAGACATGGAGTACCATGGGGATTCAGTCAGATAGCCAGTTGTATTGGGGAGGCTTGGTCCAATGGGCATGGTCTTGTCTGGGGATACGTGACCTGATAAGAACGGGATAAGGAATCGCACACTCTCGGCCATGGTGGTTGAATTGGCAGCAAGCCATGGGTTCCCCGTTTGCCTTCTGGGGATGCGGTGACAGAGCCGCTGCAGAGAGTTGACCCCTCAGTGGGAACAGAGAAACAGCTGGTGACACAGCCCAGATTCCTCGTTCTGTTTGGTAATCATCGTGCATGAATTTTGATATTAATAAAAGGTAACACAATCCCCAGACTTTCTCCTTTAATGGAGCATCAAAAATAACCAATAATTTGGTGTAGATTTCATTGGTAAACAAAGAATTAACCGCATTTTCTTCTAAATTTGTTATCAAGAACATCACTTACGCTGAGTGAGAAACCCCTTTTTTGAAGGTGAGAAACAAAGCCTCTCCGTTTCTCGCCATTCACAGGTTGTAAAGTCAGTTTACTGGAGCAGGGCCGACATCTGAAAGAGAATGAGGAGCAGACTTTTAATGCCCACTGCACACAGCGGAGGCAAGGGCTTCTGTGTGTAACATTGCCTTCCACTCTCTGCGTGTACACACGGTTCCAGATGCTTCCGTGGAGTGTGCTGCAGGGTGATTTCATCACGGGCTGACATCACGGAGTATGCTCAGTGAGTAAACATCTGTGGTGTCACCACGTGATGTGATCTCATGGACCCCCGTCCTGTACACAGTCTCTAGCTGACCAAGCCCTCCACTCGCACACGAGTGTGGATGTGTTACCAGCTGCAACAGAAGTCTGTTTCTCTTCCTGGTGATGACGTGACGAACTCACACAGCTGTTAGTGGGAGTCTCCTCGAAACACACTCAAGACAATAGAACTTCCACAAGCTCCTGAAGCCCTTTCAGGGGTATATACCCAAAGAAGACACAAACAGAACACCAGCGAAATCCATGTTTCTGTAGCTACTGCTCCCTGAACACAACAGCTGAGACAGGATCAACGCTATGGTTGCCAGCAGCAAAGACGTGGTACGTGTGCTCAGTGGAATGATTTCCAGCTGTGAAGAGCAGGAGATTCTGTCATTCAGAGCAACAAAGACGGAACTGACCGGAGGGCATTAACATCATGTGTGCCAAGTTGGGGCCAGAAACCAAAGTGCTCGTATGTGGATGCTAAAGGCTGGTGTGTGTGTGTGTGTGTGTGTGTGAGAGAGAGAGAGAGAGAGAGCAGCAGTGCTCACAGTCTGGAGGGGTGAAGGATGAGAGGATGGACAGACAGTGGGCACAGGTACAGTTAGAGAGGAGGACTTCAAATCTGCTGGCAAAACGTAGGAAGATAGAGAACACACTTTCGATGTTATATCTGTATTTTAATCTATTTGCATGTGCGGCTGCATACGTGTGTGCATTTGTGGCTGGGGGAGCTGTGGGGGTCGGCCAGAGTCAACCTCTTGTCTCATTCTTTGGTTTTTGAGATGAGGTCTCTCACTGGTCTGGAACTTGCTCATGAAGCTCGACCAGCTGACCAGCAAGCCCAGGGACCCGCCTGACTGCCTCCTTGGTGCTGGAATGATAGCCCTGCATCACCAACGCCTGATGGTGTCCTGTGGGTTCTAGGAATCAAACTCACGGGCACTCCTAACTGAGCCATCCCCCCAGGTCATATGGCTGTCTGTCTGTCTGTCTATCTGTCTGTCTATCTATCTATCATCTATCTATCTATCAATCATCTATCTGTCTGTCTGTCTATCTATCTATCTATCTATCTATCTATCTATCTATCTATCTATTTATCCATCTATCTGGTTTTTCAAGACAGTTTCCTCTGTGTAGCCCTGGCTGTCCTAGAACTCACTCGATAGACCAAGCAGGCCTTGAACTCACAGAGACCCACCTGCCTTTGCCTCCCAAGTGCTGGGATTAAAGGCATACACCACCATTACCTGATTATTGATGGTTTGTTGAGTCAAGGTCTCATGTAGCCCAAACTAGCCTAGAATTCACTATGCACTATGACTTCCTAAACCTACTGCCTCCACTGTCTCAGTGGTGAGATTACAAGCTACTCTAGGCTACAATAAACATTACTAATAAAGGCCTAAAAATGACTAATTTATTTTTAAAAATGTCCAATTAGGATAGTTGTGCTTCATATTTGAGACAAATAAGCATTCCTCTCACTAACAAAATCTGGAAGAGAAAATAGAGATTTGGCAGGAAGGAGCTGTGCCCAGGCTAGCACACAGCCGCTTTGGGAACTGAAACACTCACTGCACCTTGGCAACACTCCGCTCATTATTTGATCGCCTGGTACATTATTTGGCATAGCTGGCACATTTTTACCACTAAACTACATAAAAATCTGTGGCGTTTTCCTCCCTTTGTGCTTAGCTTGTCTTGGGGGGGGCTCCTCCCTCCCACCCAGTCTCATGCTTGCTCTTTGTGGGAACTGTCGTCAGATTAACATTTAAAGTGTGCTCAGTAAGTGCGGTGGTTAATTACACGATTATAATTACATGGTTATTACTGGCTGTAAGTCGTCATGAGCCGTGTCTTCTGTTAGAACCTCTCATCTTCCACATGGAAACAGCTCATCGGAATACTTTCTTTCTCTTGACCGAGGTGACTGTGTTTCTAGACAACCGCCTCTTGCTCCATCTCTGCTGCTTCCCTGAAGCTCCATGCTTAGTCTCCGTATTTGGCTTTTGTGCCCAGTGCTGAACCCATGGAGATGATGCTTCAAGCTTTTACCACCCAGACTGAATCCCAACAAGAAATGGGAAGGAGAGGGCAGGAGGCGCCTGGAGCATCTGCCCCACCTGCCCCTCACTGCAGCCTCCGGACCTCCCCATCAGACTTACTGGGCTCTGGAAATCCCATCTCCTCCCTCCGCCCCTTTGCCATGGGCGGGATGGGCTGTCACTGCTGGTGGTGTCTGACCTTCCCCATCTATGACGGACAGATCTGCTTAGAGCTGCTTACACTGAAAACCTCCCTCCATCCCCGTACTCCGGCACCTCTCACGGGGCAAGTGAAGATGTCAGTGCGACCCAGAGCAACAGGGGCTGCAAACTGAACACGACGGGCATCGTTATCCTTCCAGCCGCCCACCAGTGTCTCCTGCTCATCCTGAAAGACAGGACTGAGGTTGGCAAGAACAGTGAGGGCCCAGTTTCTAGAGTCTTGTGTGCCCAGAGACCTCCTCAACCTCCTTCCATGAAGATACCCACAAGACTTGGATGGAGACTACAGATGGCCACCTTCGGTAAGCCAGGCCTCAGGGTTTCCTATGTGGATAGGCATTGAATGAAAGACTTGACTTAAGACTCAGTCCTGAAAAGATTTGCGATTCAGAAATTGAACTTCCAATTAACTGAATTTCTTTCTAGTTAGAACGTCTGATTCTAACTTGAGATGATCCTTTGGCCAATAGGCCAGCATGCGCAGGAGGCTAAAACACCAAGCCCTGCTGCCTGTACTTCCTAGCTGGGCCCAAGCCAGCCTGCTGACACCCAGGTCCTGAAGGCCAGGTGAGCCTGAGCGTTGGGATTAGCAGATCTTACAATAAGAGAGCCAGCTACTCTGGTGTGGGCTCACGTTTATTCTGGCGGAAGCTGGCTGGAACAGGAAGAGTACGCTCTCTGTATGACAGGGTAAGGAGGGCGCAGAAGGGAGCCCAGAGGTGAGTGCTCAGAGTGGGGCCATCAAGGCTCTGGGAATCTAACAGGACTTGAAGCTCTTCTGACTCAACGCTCTGAACTTCACGCTATATCAGTCACGGCCTGAGCTGGGCCTAGAGCAGTGATTCTCACCCTTCCTACGCGGCCATCCTTTACTACAGTTCTCGTGTTGGGGTGACCCCATCATAAAATTAATTTCACTGCTACTTCATAACTATAATTTTGCTATGATTATGAATTGTAATGTAAACATATGCTATATAGGCTATCTGATATGCGGCCTCTACGAGAAGGTTGTTCTACTCCCGGGGTTGTGACCCACGGGTTGAGAACCACTCACTAGTCTAGGGGCACAGCCTGTCAACCCAGCTATTTGGGAGCTTGAGGGAGGATTTAAGGTTCAAAGTTGCCTGAGAGTTCAAGTCTCGAGTGGACAACTTACTGAGATAAAATTTTAGAAGGACTGGGCATATAGTTCAACAGTAGAGCGTCTACCCAGTACGTGCCAGGTCCCACTCCAGTTCCCAGGGCTACAAACATGACATTTAACTTAAAAACATAGTCTTTCCTTAGAGCGGCCGTGAATGTAAAAATAACGAAGTCAGGCGGATCTTCACAGCACCTGACGTGTGCTGTCTGCACTCCTAAGACCCGCCCCAATTTCTAGCACACATCCAAGGCCACGAAAGAGAACCGGGGTGTGTGAGGAAATGGTGAACAGATGGGTGCTTACAGGAGGCATCAGCCAACCTGATTGCTCCTGTTCTCACAAGGTCCAAACCCAGAAAACTTGTGATGATGACCTAAAACTCACACAGAGTGGGAGCGGAGTGGGTCTGTGCTCTACAGAGGAGCAGAATTCAAGATTTAACTTGGAGCCAGGCACTGTGGTTCATGCCTGTAATCCCAGCTAGGGAAGCAGAGACAAGAGGATCAGAAACTGAAGTCCAATCATCGAGGGGGAGTCACCCCAAGAGACCACTCTCACACCGCAGTTGATGCAAAAGCATGAGGATTTAATTCTGTTGCGACAGGGTCTTTCAGCATTTGAGAAGCCAAAAGGCCCCAAACAACTGTTACAAGCTATTTTTAAAGCAAAAAGCCATAGAAACAAGGTGGAGGAACTTGGGGGTTGTTTTTTAACTATTGGGAATTGGCTTATTCAAAGGGCTATTACCAATAATTGGCTGGAGAGCGGCTGCCAGATCAGGTGAGATAAGAGGGAACATCTGAGGGTCACTTTGCCCCCTTCCCAGGGACTGAGTTAAAACAGCTGTGGACATCTGTGGGTTATCTTGTCCCAATTCCAGGAATGGTGCTCTATTTGGAGAACACTCACAAGGACTCAGGGAGATGGAAAGTCCCCAACATTCCAGTACATGCAGGTGCAGTTGTTAGGTTCCAGGGGAGGGGGAAAGCACTAATTCTGACAGGCCTCAGAAATGACCTCAGAGTTGTTAGAAATGGCTTCAGAGTTATCCTAGAGTTCTACAATCCTCAGCTACATAGTGAGTTTCAGGTCAGCCTGGGCTACGCCAAGCCCTGCCTCAGTTAGTCAATCAATAATCAGATTCTGAGGCGAGACCATGGGGTTCCAATTCTAGCGATTCCAAGCCCAGAGTTCTTTGAGGACGGGACAGCCTTGTTCCATCAAGCGTCCTTGTTCTCACCTGTAAAGGAATAGCACTGACAGCCCCTCATAGACAGTTACAAATATTACTGAGAGCACACCTGAGAATCCATCAGCAAATGTCAGCTCCACATTGGTCTACTTCCAACAGAAGTGCGCGAGTTTCTTCTGGAAGAGCTCAGTGGTTCAGAGCACTGGATGCTCTTGCAGAGGACCTGGGTTTAGTTCCTACTCACTCGGTGGCTCACCACCCTTTTTAACTGTAGTTCCAAGGGATCTGATGCCCTCTTCTGGCCTCTGTGGGCTCTGGACAAACATCTTACATAAACATATAGAGAGACAAAATAAAACACCTACACTGTCTTAGTTAGGTATCTATTGCTTTAAGAGACACCATGACCATGGTAACTCTTATAAAGGAAACCATTTCATTACAGTTTCAGAGGTTCATTCCATTATCGTCTGGCAGGAAGCAAGTCAGCACGCAGGCAGACGTAGTGCTGGAACTGAGTCCTTCCATCTTGGACAGGAAGTGGTCTGTCTCACTGGACAAGGCTTGAGCATGTACGAAACCTCAAAGCCCACCTCCACAGTGACACATTCTCCAACAAGGCCACACCTACTCCAACAAGGCCACACCTCCCAACTGCGCCACTCCCTCTGAGGGCCATTTTCATTCAAACCACCATACATACACATAAAATAAAATCTTAATTTTTTTTGCATTTATTTATTATTGGAGCACAGGTGGGTGTATATGTCATGAGTCACTTGTGGAGGTCAAAAGGCATACGAAGACAGTCTGTTCCCTCCATCCATCTGAACTCAAGGATCAAACTTCTGGTGAGATGGCTCACTGACCCGAGTTCCAACAGAAACTAAAATAGAAGTTTGCGAAGAACATATGGAGGTCTCATCTTCCATAAAAGTCTGCTCTCTGAATGAGGCATGGAGAGATCAGGAGAGACATCCTTTCAGAAATGGAAGGCGGTGCTTTTATTATATACATGAAGAAAGGCTTTCCGTCACGCGAGGACCTGTTTCTGCTCAAATCTCCTTTCCCAAAAGCTAACGTGGCCCGTGGAAGCCCTGGGCGTGAATGCTGTTTCCTCAGCTCCCTGAGTGGATCTGCAGGTGACTGAGAAACAGCCATGGTGAGGCCACACCCACCCAACGACCTGATTGTCTACATCATCAGCGTTGGCTGTGGTCTGGCCACAGAGGGGCGTACCTGGAGAAGGTAAGATGCAGGTGAACCGACAATGGAGGCCCAGGGTGCTGGCCCTGGTCACTGCTACAGGTTCATCCCCGGCAAGGTCCTGAAATCCTAGGCCTTCAGAAGGCTGAGGCAGGAGGATAACCACAAACTCAAGCCTATCTGGGCTACAGAGTGTCAAAGATAGCCTAAGCGGCTCAGAGTGACTGTTTCAAATGGAAAGTAAAGATGAGGATCGGGGTGTAGCTTCGTGCCAGACTGGTAGAGCGCTTGCCTAGTGTGTGTGTAGCCATGGATCCAAGCCCCAGTGTGGAAGAAAAGGAAGAGAGAAAAAGAGGGGAGGAGAGAGAGTAGATTCAGTTTCTACAAAAATCTTATGGAGTTGGTAGGAACCTAGAACATGAAGCCCTTGGTTTGATCCTAGCACTGGACAGAGAATCAGGGAGGGAAGGGAGGGAGAAGGGAGGGAGGGAGGGATAGAGGCAAGGAGGGAGGGAGGGAGGGAGGGAGAGATGGGGGAGAGGCACTACCTTCCTCCCAAAGAACAAATGTACTCACCTAAGAAATGCAAAGTCCTATGCTTAGAGGGGAAGCAATAAACCCAGGACTCTGTATTTGGTCAAAGTAGAAAGTGGGCCCCACCCTGGTGTGACCTGGGTGTCCTAAATCATTTCCATTTGTTAATACACATGTATAAAAATGTCACAATTTCTTCGTATTGTAACCATAAGAATAACTGAAATTATAATAATAGTTGGTCTCCACATGTTACGGGGATGTTTCTTCTTTAATTTACTATTTTTTTATATGTAAGGGTGTTTTGCCTACATGTACGTCTGTATGTGTAGATGTATGCCTGGTGCCCAAAATGCCAGCAGAGGGTGTTGGTCACCTGAGGCTGGAGAAACAGATAGTTGTCAGCTGCCATGTGGGTGCTGGGAATTGAACCTGGGGTCTTAGGAGGATCAAACAGTGTTCTTAACCACTAAGCCATCTCTCCAGTCCCAAGTCTTTTTTTTTTCTCTTAAAAAGCCTAAGGTATTTTATTATAGTTTCATTTAGCAAACATGAAGACAAAAACTTAGATTTTATTCTCAGATGCCATTCCAACTACCTGTCTGTTAGATAGATAATTAGTCAGCAGACTGAGGTGGGGTTTTTTTCAGTAGTAATCACTACTCAATAGATTTCCGTCCCAGCTCTTCTGTGTGTACTGTGCCCACAGTGGCTGCCGTGTATCCCAGGCATTTTGATCTGAGGCTCTTCGCCCCAGAGAGCAGCAAGCTCAAACTGGGTAGGGCAACCTTGAAACCTATCTCTTTGAAGAAGTGTTGTAACTGGAACCTTTGGATACAACTGTGGTTGCTCCTCCTCTTTGGCATGTTTGTCAGGCAGGGAGTTCAGTCACATGGACAAGAAAAAGGCTTGCTTATGGAAACAGAAAGGCCTGATCCAGAAATGAGGGATGGGGGGCTGGAGGTGTAGTTCAGGGTAGGCCCTTGTTCAGTCTGTAGGGTACCCTGGAATTGAACCTTGGAGGACAGGTGGGGAGAAAAGCAGGGGGGTGGGCTTGGGGGAGAACAGAGGAAGAGAGAAAGAGAAAGAAAAAGAAAGAAAGAAAAAAAGAAAGGAAGGAAGGAGAAAAGGAAGGAAGGAAGGAAGGAAGGAGGGAGAAAAGGAAGGAGAGATGCAGGAAGGCAGGAGGAGGAAGAGGAGGGAAGAGGGAGAAAATGGACTGAGGTGAGAAAGGAGAGAAAACAATGCCAGCAGCCAGGGGAAGAGTCACAGTTAGGTGACCAGGCTCTACCCCCTACCCACTTCCAGTTGGCTTGGGATAGCAGTCACCATCAGAAACGAAGGTGGAGAGAGAGTGTGTGTGTGTGTGTGTGTGTGTGTGTGTGTGTGGTGTATGAAGTTAGGAACTCAAAAGCCTATTCTCATTTGCAGACCCAATGTACCATGGTCATTTAAAGGTTCTGACGTGTGCAACAATCACGCCTATGTAAGCCTCAGCCAGAGTTTCCAAGCTTATTTGAATACAAACAAAACACTTCCTGCCGGCCCATTAACACCCTGCCAAACAAGTTTCTCTCTACCCAAGTTAGAGAACTGCAGACAAATGCTTTGACATTTTCTTTCTTTTTTTAATTTATTACCTTTCTGATGTTTTAATGTTAAATGTTTTAATGTTAATGTTTTAATGTTAAAATGTTTTCATTTTACATATTTACTTATTTTAGTATAATTCCTAATAGTTACCAAAAAAAAAAAAATTCTCTCACTTTGCTTGTCCCTCTATCCAATTCCTTGTTTGGGTATACAAAAATCTAGAACTCCTCTGGAGTTACTCACTGAATCCCAATATCCATGGATGTCACTGGTACCCATTAAATTCTAGTTGTGAACATCCCCTCCTCCTACAGGCCTCTGTGTGTGGGGTGTGTGTGTGTGTGTGTGTGTGTGTGTGTGTGTGTGTGTGTGTCTGCCCTGTTTCCCATCTGCCTGCATCTCTAGCTCACAGAAGACTTGCGGGTTATTAGACCAGCCATTCTGTATGAGCTCTTACCCATCTCCTGGTCCACACTCCAGGCGGCTTGCTGCAGCAGGCCCGGTGGGAAAGGGAAGGCTTCTCACTGGCCATGCATTTCTCTCCAGAGGATCCACAACAGCTCACTGCTTCCCCCACACTGCAGGGCTGTCCAGCACCAGCCTGCAGTGAGTCACAGCAGTGACTGCTTTTGTTTTGTGTTTGTGTGATGCCATTTTACTCTAGAGGAAAGTGAGCCTGGTTTGATTTTGTTGTTGCTGCTGCTGTTTTGTTTTTGGAGATGGGGGTCTATGTAGCTCTGGCTGGCCTGGACTTTGCTATGTAGACCCAGCAGAGGGGCAACTTCCATGTGCACGGTCCCATTTTTCTTATCTTCTTCAGTTAAACTGGATCTATATTGCATGGAAGCTCAGTGATCAGCTAATTATTTAGTATTTATGACTCTGAGTTCAACCCTTAGTATGAAAGGAAGGCAGGCAGGCAGGAAGGCAGACAAGCTCAGCTGTTAAAGCAGGTGCGGCTCTTGCAGAGGACCCTCTGCAAGTTTGGAGCTGTTCACAGCCACCTGGGACCCTCACTCTGGGGGATCCCGCCGTCCGCGGCTCTCCTGGTGACAGCGGGTACCAGCACTCACACGCTCACACACAGACACTTAAACAAACAACAAAAAAACCCCAAGCCTGGGGTAGTGATAAGGTTGAGACCAGCCAGTAACAATCCCCCAAAGGGAGATTAAATTGAATACTACAAAATACACAGAGAAACAACGTACCCTGCACACTCTGGCAGAAGAAACAGGAAGAGACTCAAAACAACTATTTTGGGATTACTCCACACATGATGCGAATAACAACATCTTTAAAAGTAAGATACTGCAGGGCAAAGAACAAGGCATCCTAAATAATAAAACAGTTTTCTAATTTTGTTTTTATTTGTTTTATTCAAGACAGGGTTTCTCTGTGTAGCCTTGGCTGTCCTGGAACTCACTCTGTAGACCAGGCTGACCTCGAACTCATACAGGTCCACCTGCCTCTGCTTCCCGAGGGCTGGGATTAAAGGCGTGGGACTTTTTTTTACAGTAACCAAACAGAATGTTTAGAAGTCACAAATAAAAGTATGAGCAGACGCTGAGAGAGTGAGATCTAGAGCTGACAAGATGACTCAGGGCCAAGCCTGAGGACTTGAGTTCAATCCTGGAAGCCACCTGGTGGAAGGAGAGAACTGACCTCACAGGTCGTCCTCTGACCTCCACACGTGAGCCACGGTTCCCGCACACAAACACACAACAGTGAGGTCTAATTATCATTCCAGAATAAGGTGATGACGTAGAGGAATAAGGAAGAAATACTATCTACCAAGATAACAGCTGTGTATTAGTCATGTTTCTATCGCTGGGACAAAATACTTAAAAAAAAGAAAAAAGCAACTTAAAGGGAGGAATTTCCCATTAAAAGAAATCAAGAAGCCAGACACGGTAGCACAGTTCTGCAATTTTAGCACTAGGGGATGGATGTAGGGAGGTGGCAGCAAAGATCAGGAGTCTGAGCTTAAATAAACTCTAGCTCAAAAACAAAACAAACACCAAGAAGGGAAGCAAATGGGGGGGAGGGGGAGTGGTGACAGTGTAGAGTGCTTGCCTATCAAACGGGAGGTCCTAGGTTGTCTTCCCAGCACAAGGGAAATCAATATTAAAGTGGGTATTTAAAAATTCAAATATTTAAGGCTGTTACTCTCAAAATAAGAAAATCAGAAGGAACTTTCTCTTTAATGCAGGCTAGCCTCCAACTCACCCACTCCCTGCCTTAACCTCCCAAACGCTGGGTTAC